TCAGTTATATTTATTTGTCTGGACTACTAGTACATTCTATCTCAGTGAATTTCTGTTTCAATTCTCAAAATTATGGAAAATATTTTTCTCTTTTCTGCAACAAAGTCAGATAGGCTTTCTTTTTTGCAAGGAGAGATGCATAATAACAAGAGTTAGAGCACTAGCATAACAAAATATCTTATGCGAGAAATTATGACATTGAAAACTTAGATAGTTAAATATTTCCTTAAGTTAATAAGTATAACATGAAAGTAGAATGCACGTAATGCAATATTTCTATACACGAATGAATATCATTGAAAAAAAAGCGAGCCATTTTCATGCGTACATGCGTATCTTTCTTACGTTTATTCCCTATAAAGTTTTCAAAGATTATTTTCTAATTCTCAAAGAAACATTGATTCTCAAAAAATAAATCAATAAGATTATGTGTATTTTTTTTTCTTGCTGATTTAATTCACTATTGAATTGCACATATCACAGAAGTATAAGTTTGATTTAAAGTACTGATACGTGCTAAAAAAATGACCTTAAGTAAAACCTTTTTCGATATTTGCTACGAAGTATATATCCTGTTCAGTTCTCTACATTTATATAAATACTATGGGACAGATGAAAACATGTTTAATAAGTAGAAAAAAATCATTGTTCTCCTACGAATAATCATTATATAATTACAAATTTGATATCTTTATCAAAATATGTAAAAGTTAGAAAGCCAAAACTTGTAACGGAAAAAAGACAGTAAAATGGTTCATTTAACAACTTTTGTAAAGAATTAAAACACGAATCTATTAAAAATAAATGAAATGTGAAAAAATGAACTTAAAAGAAAACACATTTTTTGCGCACTAATAATAGAATGGAATATTCAAAACAAGATTGATCAAAAAAAACATATTTTTCATCATACACTAGGTTTCATCAAATTTCAGATCTAAACTGAGAGACATACACAATTTTTATTTATGAGTCGAATACATAGCTTTATAGACTTTTAAAGGAACTTTTCCTACGAAAATGAAAACAATGTCAGCTAGTCAATAAGGAGATAAAAATGAAAAACTAGAACTAACATGATATGATTTGACTTAGAATCGATCAATTAGTAAATGAAAGTAAAAAATCTATTTAGAAATTCAGAAGTTAGAGTAGTGTGGAAACAGTTACGTAAAAAGATTCTAATAAATTTGTTTATAGTGTAATAGATCGTGTGTATTTTAAATAAATCAAGTTTGTGTGCATAAGTAGATGTCTGAATAATTTGAATACACGAAGATCATGATAAAAATATGATTGCCTGTAGATAAAAAATTATTCTGTATAACAATCATGAATTCTTATGTTATATTACAAGTTACCCTAAATATGTTTATCAAGTTACATTCGTTCATCTTATATTTTTCGTTCCTGTTTTTTTAAAGGATCTATGTTTGTCTGTATTACACAGTATGAATGTAAAAAGAAATTGAGAATATTTCATCTAGCAATTATCATTGAGAAAAAAGAATTTTGTATTATTATTTCTAACTTCTAGCTTTATCTCCATGAGATGAATTACATTGCTATCTTCTAATTCTAACTATTTAACTTAATTCAAATTAAAAGTTTAATTTTATTGACATGGTTGCATTGTATTGTAATATAGTGGATATACTCCCAAGTTTGACTTCACTGTGAATTTCGAATTCTATTTTTGACTATTATATAAAATATAAGTACTTATTAAGCAAATATTTCTTCATTATTCTTTTGACTGAAAACATGTGTATGTCATATCGAAGTTACTTCGACATATAAACTATTTAAAAATTCACACTGACTCAAACAAAGACTAATAGATAAAACACTTATCTACTCAAATATTTGACATATATACTGTTTTCACTTTTATAAGTATTAATAAATCGCATTTTTTATCCATAAAACACAAGAAATAAAACTACATTTTCATTGATTTATTATTTAAATCTTCTGAAATTATTTTTTCATATAAATTGATAATGGAATGTTTTAATATAGTACAAAAATTAAAACTGAAACGATGCAATAGATTTTATTCTCTTTTCTTCTTTCAAAAGTCTTGTCTCTGAACAAAAAAAGCAACATAGAAGTTTTAATTATTGTAAAAGTAGAACAATTACATTCAATAAATAGGTTTACAAAAAATTAGATATTTCTTCTAATCGTACGAATTAAATTACAAATATTTCATGAATTTATTAGCAACATGAAATTCATTTTTATTTCTACTTCATACTTTTCTTTCATTTCAGTACCAATGCGTGCAAGTTCCATTGATATTCATCCCAATGCAACATGGTCAAAGAATGGTATCACTGTTGCTGGAGGAAATGGATGGGGCAGAAAAACCAATCAATTCTGTTACCCATTGGGTTTGTACATCGACGATGATTTAACCATTTATGTCGCTGATCACTGGAATCATCGTATTGTGGAATGGAAATCTGGTGCAACGAATGGCATAGTAGTTGCTGGTGGAAATGGAATTGGAAATGGAGCTCATCAATTAAGCCGACCAATAGATGTGATTATCGACAAAGAGAGCGATAGTCTCATCGTCTCCGATTATAGAAATAATAGAGTAGTTCGCTGGCCTCGTCGAAATGGTACTCGTGGAGAAACAATGATTTCAAATATCTCTTGCATGGGTTTGACAATGGACGACAATGGTTATCTCTATGTCGTTGACAATGAAAAACATGAAGTGAGACGATATAAAATTGGTGACACTCAAGGAACAGTAGTTGCAGGTGGTAATGGAAAAGGAAATCGTCTCGATCAACTCCCTAATCCCCACTATGTATTTGTCGATCAAGAACATTCAGTTTATGTGTCTGATTATGACAATCATCGTGTAATGAAATGGGAAGGTGTAACACAAGGCATTGTCGTAGCTGGTGATCAAGGAAAAGGAAATAGTCTTACACAATTGTATCGGCCTAATGGAGTCGTTGTCGATCAATTGGGTACTGTCTATGTGGCTGATAGTGGCAATCATCGAATCATGCGTTGGCCAAAAGGAGCAACACAAGGAACTGTCATTGTTGGTGGAAACGGTCAAGGAGCACAGTCGAATCAACTCAATCATCCCATAGGTTTATCATTCGATCGACATGGCAATCTCTATGTCCTCGAACTGTATAATCATCGAGTACAAAAATTTAATATCGAATGAACTCATTACGATGATGAATTTTTTTGTTTCGTTCTTTTTTTCTCTTTCAAATAAATCGTGATTGAATGAAAAAATTCATTCAAATTCATTCTATTCTCGCGCGCGACCAAGAACCACCCTGGCGGAGCCATGGCGAACGTAATGCTCATGCACACGCTGGAAGACTCACATCATTCACATGCACCCATTCGATGTCATAGGTCAGTGAGTATGGGTGTGGGGTCTGGGTGAGCGGGTGTGGGTATGGATGTGGGCGGGCTGATGTGGGTGTGGATGAGGGAGTCTGGATGTGGGTGGGTGTGGGTGTGAGTGTGGGTGTGGGTGGATGTGGGTATGGGTGTGGGTGTGGGTGTTGTGTGGGTGCGGATGAGTCTAGAGGGAGATACCCACACCCACACCCATTAATAATTTGCTTCAAGCGAATGCTATGCTTGTTAAATTTAATTCATATCTAGTAAACTGAATCTGTTATAAAAAGAAACTAGGGTGTGCGGTGTGGGTATGGGCGCTGTCAGATCTTGGTTTATATTCTAGCCCACCTACGAACGAAACACCCACACCCGTACCACCCTCAAGAAAAAGCATAATAGTTTTACCTTCAGGGTGTGGGTGTGGGTGTGGGTGTGGGTGTGGGGTGTGGGTGTGGGTGTGGGTGGGGGTG